ANAGATAGATGTTTTGAGAAGTGCTCCAATGGCGCCAACGCAATAGCACGAGGCCAATTCCATCGCGGCTCCGGTGATACCGACGACACTTGCTCGCCGCGCGATGCGCCGCACGATGCGCGCGAGCTCAGCATTCGAACAGTCGTTGACAAGCTCGCCGAGAAGCGATTTGCGCATCCCTCGCGAGAAGCGATTGTCATCATCCCTCGAGAAGCCCATCGAGGCGGGAAGCACATCCTCTAGCCAAATTTCAATCGATACAAAAGTAGCAGATTGAGCGCCTGATGCATGTTGTAGCGTCCGGAGATAAAAGAAAAAGTCTCTTGCGCCCACGGTGCCTCCAGTCTCCGACAACAAAGGAGGGGAAAGATCGTCGTCTCCGTGGCCGGTATGCGAGCGGTGCATCGCGCAAAGTAAACAGCCCGTCAAAATTTTAGTCATCCATTGTTCCACGACGTCGTATAGGGCCGCAACGGCGCCGTCGGTGAAGCGCGATCGCGGATCGACGTTGCTGTAGCAGCAGCGACCATACAGGAACTCGACGATTCGTCGCATTTTCACGGGGCCGAGGACGCTCTGGAAAGCCCCCTCGGTGCTGCTTTGGATGTCACGAATCGCATGGATGGCGACTGCTTCGAGGCAGCCGCGTCTGCCCGCAGAAGTTTCTTCTAGAACATTGTCGCCATAGCCGATGGGCCGTGGCTGCCAGAGCGCGTCCTCGCCGACGGCCCTGCGCCACGCGGCGCACACGAGCTCGCACCGCAGGAAGTCAGCGCCGTTTCGGACGTAGTGCAAGATTTCGCGCAACACATCGGGCGAGCGTAGCACAGTCGAAGGCAGCGCTGACATTGCGCAGCCGGCGGCTCGCGGAGAGCCGACGACCGTGCGCGTGCGCTGCTAAGCCGCTGCTCGTCTAGAATTGTGCGCGCGACGGTGCCGCGGCGCGCTGCTCGCCGAGAAGCTGAGCGACGCCGCGGCGCGCTATTCGTCGTGTCGCGCCGGGCGCGCGCGCAGCAGACGATTCGCTCGAGCCGAGTCTCGAGCCGGGCCGGCTCGAGTTGATCAAACGGAAGTTACCACTTCACTTACCCCGCTTTCACTGCTTGAAGAGGTCGGCGACGAAGGCCGTGCAGTCGTAGTAGAGGCCCTCGCCGTTCTTCGGCGGCTCGGCCTTGGGCATGTTCGCCGTGAGGTACTCGATGAGGTCGTGGTCGTGGACGGAGCGCGCGAGCATGCCCATGGAGATGACGGGCGCCGCCGGCGCGTCGCCGTCGGCCTTGGGGAGCAGGTCCGCGAAGGCCGTGAGGACGTCGCTCTGGCTCGCGCCGCGCACCGTGAGGTGGGCCTCCATGAAGGGCAGGAACGTCTCGAAGACGATGCGGCCCGTGTCGGGATCCTTGAGCTTCTCGAAGTTCTCCTGGACCTTCTCCTTGGACATCGCGATGCCCACGGACGTCAGCCCGCTGTGGAACTCCGACTCCGTGAGCTCGCCGTCGCCCGTCGAGTCGAACTCGTCGAAGTTCTCGCGGATCTCCGCGAGCTTCTCCGGCGAGATCTTGCGGCCCTCCTCGACGGCCTTCTGCGCGAGGAGCGACGCCTCGAGCCGCTTGTAGTTGTCCGCGAACGCGCCGCCGGCCGCGCGCAGCGTGAAGATGTTGTCGCGCGTGTGCGGG